AGCAATAGTATGTTCAAGAATGCTTATTTTCAGCTTTTGATTAATGATCAGAACATTGAAAATATAAGTTTTTTGTTATATTTTTTTTATTGGAGTATTATATAGAAATAAGAAGAGATATTTCAAGTGTAGCAAGCTGTAATGTGGGATGGCTGATGTTTACCAGATTCAGATTTGGGAGCAAAGATGAAGGCTCCTCTGCGTAGCTCTCTAGTCTGGCCCGGTCCTTCGCTGTACCAACAATGGTTAATAACAAACCATAAAGCACTGTCTTTGAGATACATGCAGTGTCTAATTACCAATTCAAAAATTATCAATTAAAAAAAAAGAGATTATATATTTTGAATTTCTTTTTTTTATTTTAAAAATTTTGATAAAAAAAGATTTAATATTTAACACTAATATTTTAATTAAATAATAAAGAATCATTTAGTGATTTTTTTTATAAGAATATTATATGATAGAAATTTTAAATAATTCTTTAAGTAAATTTTTTGATTTGTTTTTAAAATTATTACATTATTATTTATATTTTGCTCTAGTTATTTTTTGAATGAATGAATACGAATTAATGATTTATGAATTATGCAACATAGAAACAAATATGAATATATATTGTTGCAAAAAAAAAATTATATTGTTTATCATTAATAAAATTTAATAAAAATATAATTTGTGAACAATGAATATATATATATTATATTTAAATTATAGGTAGGAACATATATGATTAGTACGATATGCAAAGTACCAAAAGATTTTAAAAATAAGAATCGAGGAAAAGTTATTTATTATTTTCTACATGGGAACAATGATAGGAATAATATTGTGTTAATAATATTTTTATAGTTAGTACGATACGTTAAAATTAACGATTGTTACATATGAACGAATGTTTATATGTACATACGTATGGTGATGAAAGGTTATGTTAGATATCTATTGGTATCGATGTCTGATAATGCGCCAAATAAAATACAAATAAAATATCATTCGCCTTAGCGTGAAATAATTGAATGAACACGCAATACATAGTTGAAAATAATAAAAAAAAAAAAATTATAAGTTATTCCTCGATTTCTTTGATTCGGTGTTTTATACTTTTTCTCGTTAAAAGAAAAAATTATTCTATTTCCGTATATAAATATTCATATAATTAAATAAAAATAAGAACATACCTTACGTGGAGGTGGAACAGGATTACCCAAACCATGATCCGAACACATAGAACTCAACGACTCGCTGCTACGTCCATTACTCAATCTTGAGGAATTGATACTAGATGGAGCTGGGGGAGGAGGATTCCTTGGTCTTTGAAGCGTCGAGCTGTTTACTTTGTCCGTACCTAACAACAGACAAAACCGAATAAATTTCGAAAACAAAAAGGATCGGAAAATTCTAAATTTACCCGAACTAGGCGACAATTCGTAGAGGAGTTTGCGTGAATTTTCAAACGCACCGTGTCCCGTTGAAGAATCTCCACTGGGCGATCTTTTATGATGTTGACTGTTTAATGTATTTAACGCATGTGGTAGAGTATGTAAAGAATGCCCAGCTAAGATAGGTTCGCTCGTTGTACGGCTATGCGTTGACGCTGCTAAGGACGCGGACGAAGGTAGTGTACCGTAATGAGAGGAAGGTATACCACCTGTACTTCCAGCCGGTGGTGGTGGGGGCGCTACACGCTTCTTCAACGATCCGTGAATATTGACCGAAATATCTGGCGCCATGGGTGCAGGTACTGAAAATAACAAAAGGATTTTGTTATACAATTAAGGATTTTAATTTACAAATAAAAATATGAACTCTTATAATAATAAGATATCATACCAGCAACAGGTTTTCTTGATTGAGGTGGCGGTGGTGGAGGCATTTGTTGTCTATTCGTCGAGGAACTTGGAGAAGAACCACTTTGCAAACTGTCACACGTACTACTTCGACTACGTAAAGTCACTGGCGAATCTCCTGATCCAGCACCACCACCACTACCACCGCCACCCACATAAGAAGGTGGTCTACTACGAGATTTCTTCTCAGGTGTTAAACAACCATTCTAATAAAATGTATATCAATTAAAACAACTGATTTTAATAATTTTATTTTATTATCCCTATTTTAAACATACCCTATCTTCTATTATCGTTTCGTCATCAGAAAAATCGGTAGATCCTTCGTCATGCGAGAGATTCCAGTCGATATTAACATTGTCAAACAATGTCTTTTGTCTTTGTAAAGCATGACTTAACTAAGGACAATGAAACGGTTAATATATTGTACGATATGCTATTGTTGTACAAATTAATCAATAACTATAATAGCATTACCAGTTCTTTACAAGTGTGATGTCCCATTTCCTGTGCAATATCAAGCGGAGTTTTATCCTGCTTATTTCGATGTGTTGGATCAGCACCTGCTCGTAGCAAAAGCTTCATTGCTTCTGCTCTATCGTGTCTTGCACAAAGATGTAAGGCTGTTTCTCCGTCGATAGTGGTCCTGTCTATACCACCTGTCGACATATTCTGTACTAAGAAATCTATAATATGCAAGCTGTTTCCCATCTCACGTAAGATTGCTAAGTGCAATGCTGTTTCGCCCAGATCCTAAAAGAAAGATAAATTATTATAATTTTTCAAATTATTACAATTTAATTGAAAATTTATAATAAAATAAAGCTTTATTTGTTTTATCCTTATAATTGTATCTTTATAATTAAATTAAAATCATACCGATGTAGGTAATGGTGCTGCTAAATCTACATTTTCTGCATAAACTTGCAAAAGTTGTTGGAGATCACGATTATTAACTGCATGTTCTAAGTCAGAAAGGAGATCTCTTTCATCTGCACAAGTGTTCATCACGTATCGTTTATCCACATATTTAGCTCTTATAAATTCATATCTTTCTTCCCTACATTATATAAATAAAACATATTTAATCACAAACAATCTATAAAATGAATAATTTATATAAAATTTAAATTTATACAGATTTAAATAAATTTAACGCATACATTGTGGAAGTTGGGGTTGGTTTATGATTATGATGCAACGTAGCTTCCATTACTTCGTTAAACGCCTGATTAGTCATGTGTCGTGCAAGAAGCAGTTGAGCAGTGCCTACATTATCCAGTGTCAAGGACTGTATTCTAGATATGTGCACTCCTAAATCACGGTGAATTCCACTGCATTCTATACACACGATTATGCCAAAATTTGTAGAGAGCCATGTAGCATCTATCAAAAAAAAAGAAAAATCAATATTTTTTTATATATGTTTAGATTTAGATATTTATTTATGATATATAAAAATGATCTACATTTCAAGTGTTTTTTAACATTATTTTGAAAATAGTATCAATAATAAAATTTAGTTAAAGTATAATATTGTATAATTTGAGATCAATAAAAAGAGAAATATATCTCTCTTAATGTTTCATTCTATAAATTTACCATTTTGCGAAGAACAGTCGCAGCATTGATCGTTTCCAGGTAACCTCATGACACATCGTATAACAGCCTGTTGAAGTTCAACTAAACTTGGATTTCCTGTACCAGCTTCAGCCTTGCCACTTGCGTCGAATGCTCGAAGCAAAGCACGTTCCTTGCAGTTTACTAAAACGGACATCCATGCTCGTTGATCTGCTTCGTCTTCCGCTTGAAAGTGATACGTTCTGTTGTCTGCAATCATAAAAATCAAATACGTTGGTGATATTTTTTATTTTTAATATTTAAATTATTTCATTAATATTTAAGTATAATTACTAGTCTTTAAAAAATAATTGCACATATATCTCCTTACTATTATTTTTTATATTTACTGTATCTGTTTTTATTTTATATTATTGATATATTATTAAGCCTCAATATCAATGGGTTAACAATTCAACTTACAACTAATTAGATCGAAACCCCGTTTGTCATCCGGTACTAGCTTGATTTGACAAGTTAATAAATTTACTCTTGTTGGTGGCTTATTCTCGTCCGCGTGACAAATGTCCAAATAACCTTCGGCTTGAACAGCACACCGTCTCTTTTGCCAAACTCTCCTCATTTTTCCCTCGCTTTTCTTCAACAAATGACCGGATCTAGTAACACCATGCTGCTTATCCCCTTGCAATTGGTGAAGCGAATATCCTGCATTCGCATTTACGTTTAACTGGAAATCGCATAACATTAAATAGTTGTAGTTCAAGTTGCGAAAAGGACCATGCTATACGAGTACAGTGGATAATTTACCTCTTTGTCGCAACCTGAGCTTCTAAGGAGATTTCTCAGTTCTGTTAATCGTCTTCTTTCCTCGTCTTGCGTTTGCCTGATCTTTTGTAATTTTACACTGAGATCAGCTACGTATGAGCCAAAGTGTTCAATGGTTTTTAGGCCGTCTTGAAAGTAACTGTGGAATACAAAAAACGATATGAAATGTATTTCATGAAAAGAAATTTGAGAGAGAAAAATTGATATATTTATTATATATTTTATATGCATATATTTGATCGAATCAATCTCTTTCACATAAAAAGATAATATTCTTATTTACAGATAATTCATAATCAACAACAATTTAATTTAATTTTCACTCCCGCTTACTTGGTTTGTGCATGATAATATTCGACTAGATGCTGCAGCAGTTCAATTCCTTTCTTCGTTTTAATTTCGTTCACTTTTATAAGATACTGGAAAAGATATAAAAAAAGACACGATTATTTATTAATGTTTTTAATTTTACATTAAAACTCGAAAAAAAAAATCAAAATTTTCAATATTCAAATTTTAATCTTCAAATAATATATTCAATCCGAATAATCCTTTTGCAAAATAATCAAAGAAAAGATAAACGTGGTTCTTTTCGCAAAACAGAAAAAGAGAATCTGTGCTATAAATTACACCAATCCTCCCATAATAAGCACATATTGAGAACAGAGAGAGAGAGAGAGAGAGAGAATCATTCGTTCCAGATTCGTTTCGGGTGCCTCACCTCGCACATTTGCAATTGAACAATCTTCTCTCTTTCTCCATCTCGTCGGCGATCTCGGCCGGCGTCACTTCCGTTCGAATGAGGCCAGCCTCTTTTGCGTGTTGCTTCTTTTCCTTCTCGATTTTCGCGTATTTAGCCTCGTAATCCTTCCACGCCTTTTCGAACGGCCTTTTCAAGTCACCTTTCACACCTCGTAGATCCCCTTTCAGCACCGAGTCCAGGGGAAACATAACGATGTTGTTGATGTTCTGCATCTATTAAAAAGGATTTCTAATTAATTGAATAATTTTTAATTAATTGCATAACTCGTCCAATTTTCACGGGAGGATAATAATAAGTAAATATTTTTAAAACGTTTATTTCTTTTTAGTTTACCAGAGTCTTCATCAGAGCACTCAATTCTTTTGTGACGACCGCAAATTTCAAGAAGGCAGCGCCGATATCCGGTTCCTGTTCTTTCAAAGCGGCATCTCCAAGCCTTTCCAGCGCCCTTCCAAGATAAACCTCGTTATCGACGTGAGCTGCAACGCGAAAAATATAAGAATAAAATTAATTAAAAAAGAATTGGTTTTTTTTTCATATTTTTAATTGTTATAATTCTAAATTATTTTATTTTGTTTAATTTTTTTTATTTTCTTTGTTATCTAGTAACTAGAGTTTTTAATTTATTTCTACATTATTAAAAATCTGAATTTTTGTTACCCAATTAAAAATTATTTGTTAATTATATCGGGATATTTAAATTTAATATTTTTTAACTCCATAATTTTTTTAAAGAATCTAATTATGATATTTAGTAATTGCTATTTTCTACTTAAACAAACATTTTTCTCAATTATTATTTTTTTCGCTAAAGTTTTTGAAATAACTATTATTTGATCTTCCGTTTCTTAATGATGCATTTTGTGTACTTCTCCAGTATACATATATTTTGTATATTTCATAATACACTTGCATTATAATTAAAATACAAACATAAATTTTCCAGCTTAATTGTACACCTGCTTTAATTTGAAAAATATGATATCGTTAAAAAAAAAAAAAAAGCGAAAAACGAGAAAGAAACGAACTTTAATGCGAATTTATCACGAAAGACCGCTTGTTATCGGTTAACTCGATCTCGTTATTATGTTAATGCACAATTCTAATCTGTAAATATCCAAATTTCATAATTCCTATTACGCTTTTTTCTTGAAACATATACGTTCATTTGAATAATTATTGAGATCACGAAGATTTTGAACAATTAATGGATTAATTAACGAAACCTGTATAATAATCTGTGAGAATAATTATTTCACTCGAATTAATTCGTTAAAGTTGTGATTATAGAAAGTAAAGAAAAATTGTATCCTTGAAACTAACTATATTTAGAAACGTGAAATATAGGACACAGTGATCGATCACAGTGACGAAAAAGAGATAGGATACATTATAATATCTTTCTAGTCACTTTCAAATCCGTGAATTATTATGAAAACAGAATGTATTATTTAAATAAATATTAATTAATGCATGACAAAATACATAACAAAATAATATTTAAACAAGCAATCATGGACTGATCATCGGATTAAACGTTACTTTTTTTTTAGATCCACTATACTGCACTATACACTTCAAAATGTTAATGTAATTTACAAATATTTTTCATATATTTCAAATATATTTTTCTATCTGTTACAAAAGAAACTTGAGTTTTTATTATTTTACCTTTGAAAACAACTTGATTTCATTCACAAGCCGGTATACAAACTTAGCAAATTAACAAATTTTCATTCTATGCTATTTGAAAGAAAAAGAAAAAAAAAAAATTAAAGAATAGTAATAATAATGACAAATAAATGATCTCGTTTAACTCACCGTTTCCAGAATTGTGGATGGCTTTGATCGCTTTCTTCAGCTTTGTCAATCCATCCCTGTCGAAGTCCAGCGTCTGTAACAAATATTACGTAAAAATTAGGTAAGCTCTGCGTGCGCAATTTCTACTCGTTCTTATTCCAGATTATATGCGATGGGGATCGCATACAGCCAAGTGAAAGGGGATATACGTATATGCGCTTCTGCTTTATAATCCTCGAATAGCGGAAACAGGATTATACTCGATTCATACTTCATTGTACTTGATTGTGCATTAAAAGTCAATTAAGACTGACACCGTTCGTCTTGAATCTTTCAAGCTGCTTATTAAACGAGGATTATTTACTTTATAGAAAACGTAACAAGATCGCAGGATCAATTTGAATCTTGGATTAATTGTATGTTTGTATTTATTCAATGACGCGTTACATCTTGCAAGATTATTCAAAATAATTCTTAAAATTAGATTTATATGAAAAATTACGTGTACTGTGATTTGAACTCCTATAATCAAAAATAAGAGAAACGACAAATAATTGGATAAACGGATATTTCAAGACAATTTATTATAACATTTAACATTTACATTTAGCTTGGTTGAAATATATGAAAATTCATTTTTAAAATACGACATTCTAGTTAATAGATTCCAATTATCTTTAACCGTTTTTAACTAAAACTCATTTCCATATTTTTGAATTTCTTATTACTTAGTCTTTTCTAAAAATAGAACTTTTTTATATTATGCTATTTCAGCATTGCATAAGAAAAAAACACTGTTTTCTTTTTCTTTTTTTTTTTTTAACACAATCGTTCATCAAATATCAAATATCAAAATTATCTACTATCTTATCATTATTGACTCCTGTTTCAATTTCCGGTGGTACTTCTTAGATTAACCTCTTTCTCTTTTCCAAACAATTTTAATATTTTTCGTACAATATCACTTTATTTTCGATCAAACCAAGTAGTTTCTCGAAAATTCTTCTTCGTATTTATTATATGCGAAATATCCAATTTTCTCGCGATTTCTCTTAATGAAATACCTTCTTCGTATTTCACTTTAATAATGGCATACCCATGTCTCTTGTGCTAATTCTTTCCATTGAATTCTACTTTGAATTCTTGAATTATACCTATCCGCCAACTATTAACGCTAACAGTTAGTAGAAATTTTATCGACACTAATAATAAATTCAATTCATTATATAATATCGATTGAGGATTATTTATTAAGTTAGATGAAGCGAGAAGGAGAGACTGTTCTATCTTTCTCACGCTCATTCTGTCTCTCTGTCTCTAATATTTCTTACATATAAACAAGCCTTAAAGATCTTTAAATATCTTTAAAAATGTTTCACGAATAACATCCTGATTTTTAATATTTTAAAGATACAGAAAATATATTGAACTGATGAATACAAGTTTGCTTGGGCAATATTTAATTACAATTTCTTTTTTCTTTGGAGAAGAGGAAAAGAATTTTTTAAATAAAATTAAAATATACGAAAACAACGCCCCCAATTTTTGAACAACAATATAGATCTCTTGCAGCGTCTATCATTTCCCCATTTGAGAAACGAGTTTGTTGGGAATTCTGACTAACAAGCCATTCTTCTTCCTCCTTTTCTTCTTCGCCAATTCCTTGTATTACTACACCAATTACGCGATTACAATGCGCAAGACGAAATTTCAAAATTGCGAAACGTATAAATATACTTGCCAATATCATACATTCTTCCTTTTCCATCTATCTATCCTCTCGTTAGCTCGAGAAACTAACGAAGATATAAAAATAAATCAACCTTCGTAAATAAGAATCGTTTCTCGCATCGAATTAAATCAAAATAGAAAAGATCTAGATAAAATCGGCCCATGCAATTACAAGAATGCCCCTCTAAAAGAAACAGATGCGTGATCGAAACTCGGATTCCCCGCCAAGCAACAAACGTCTCGTTCGATCAGGAAATTGCACAGGCTTCCACTCCTCTCTCGTGAGCGGCTCGCGAGTTATATCGCCGAGAGTAAAGTGCCTTATACCAAGAAACGCCGCGAAAGGCCTTGGATCCGCGTAGGAAAAGCAACAACAACAACAACAACAACAACAACGTAGGAAAAGGAATTCTTGAGCGGAGCAACGATACGTTTTATCGGCTCACGCTTCGCCGAGCGGAAGATTCGCCTGTCTTCTTTCCTTTTCTTATCCGAGCCGATTTTTCCGTTTCGCGCGCCGCGCTTTCACGATTTTCAATAAAACGCGATGGTCGAAGCGCGCTCGTGGAATCTTATCGATCGCATACGGGAGTGGGTTCAAAAAGGAGAGAGAGAGAAAAAAAAGGGGGGAGGGAGAGACGGAAGATGGCAATTAAATCTTCGATTTTATACAGCGTGTGTGTGTGTGTGTGGGAACGAGCGATGAATTTCAGAGATGAATACGTCGCTACGCTTGTGAGAGTGGTATATGGTATCTGAAATTGAAATCTCGTTCCTGAGTCGAGTTTCTCTCCGGTTCGAACGATTCTGGTGACATCTAGTGATTTTCAGAGAGGGAATCAAATATACTGGTGATTTTTAAGATAAGACTTTTGTCAAGTTTGCGGAGCCGAATGAGGGAAGTTCGGTGTATTTCGTGGACGAAACATTTGATTTGTTGAACGCTTAACGATAATTCGAGATTTGATCTCGGATGGAAACATTAATGAAATTGCATCGATTGGCTTATTACAGGGTTTAAGTGGTATGCGTTCGAAAGGGAAACAATGCTATTTAATTAATTCAACGACTTCCTGGTTGGCGTTAATTAAACAAGAAAGCCGTTTAAGCGATCGCGTCTTCAATTACCTATTTTAATTGGGTCGTGGCGCTATAAAAGCCATGATGAATGACGCGTCGATCGTTAAATAACGAATGGTATCGTGTTAAAAAATAAATTAGATAAAGGGTAAAATCGTAAAATTTTCTAATTATTGCGTGGCTACGACAGTTTTGTGACAATATGTTAGGCGTTGAAAGAGGAAGATTATTATATTTTCATGGAATTTAGAAATCTTTATAACACTTTATAATAATCAAATTCGTGAATTGTGAACAATTTTGCCTAAATTTTTTTTTTTGTAGAGAAATATATCAATTCGAGCATTTAAAAAGTAAATAGAAGATATAATAGATAATTAAAGCAATGCATTTGACGAATAAATATATGTACGTACAAGTACAAGTACAGGGCACTGGTAGTTAATGGTCACGTGGCGCTAGTGTCGTGTCATCAGACAGAATAGCTCTATCTTCGCCATGCCCAGTCTCTCGTTTAACGCAAACTTAAATTGCTTTATAATTACTGCAAACAAACCTCAATTAAACTTTTTATATACTAATTTTCGTATTTATTTCGGCCTCTGGATTCGATCCTCCAAGATGAATATTATTAACATAATCCGTTATTCTTTTCATTAAAATTTTTAGGTATAACAAATAAATTTTCTTATGAAATAACGTACAAAAAAAAAAACAACCTCCTCTATAAAATTACTTTACTTTAAAAAGAACATTACGAAAGGATATCGTAACTTTAATTAAAAAAAGAATAACATTGGTAAACACTGGTACGTACGAAACGAACAGTAGTCTATCATAGATCAGAGTGCACTCATCGGTGAAAAGAGGGAATTCCGGAAGGAAGAGTTGTTGAGTAAAGCCGTATCAGCGTAACGTGTTTAACGACGGTCGTGGTGGTGAAATCTTGGCGCGATCTTGGGGGGCACACCTCGAGGGGAAAAAAGAAGAAAAAAAAGGCAAGGGGGAGGGAGGGGCCCCCGTTACTTGTGAAATACGCGTGTTCCTCATCGCCATTGTGCGTCGACTTGCTATCAACCGGTCTGATATTTATCGTCGTACACCTCGTGTCGGCGGTTATTCAATTCAACGGTGCAGGGGAGAACACGTGCAACGTTTAATTACCATCCTACGCGCTCTTATTGTTGGAAACGTGGTGTCAACGAGGCTGAAACGATTGAATCGTACGAGAGATAGGATTTGAACGTTATGAAAGATTTAAGAAAATATAATATATAATTATATAAATTAGATTTTCTATCTTTTCTATTCTATCATTAAATGTCACAAATAAATATTTTTTTTTTTACGTTTATGGTAGAACTTTATTCAACAATTGATGTTATATTCTTCGACTATTTCTAGCTTGAAATATTTTATAAAATCCAAGTATATATCGGATTGGATAATAAATTGACGTTTTAACATAGCATTTCTTGAAAGTATACATGCCATCGAAAACTTAACGAACTTTCATTATTTTATTCAATAATGAATATGATCTTCCGTTAATCGTGTTAAAAGGATTGTAAAAAAATAATCATTTACAGATAGATACAATTAAGCAATTTAATTTCCTTGAATCCATTAAAAGAAACAATTGTATCGACACTTTTAAATCTTTCTCAATCTTTCTCAATTTTATGCAATTGCAAACGAATAAATATTATTTCTTTTCATAAAATGATTAATGAATATTCTTCGAGCGAAAGAATATCGCCTGTCACTTTGTATAGGATGAAACCAACGAATCGATTGGTAAAAAAATTCCACGAAAGTCATTAGTAAAACTGACATAAAGCTTATTTCCGCTTGTGCCATTTAGACACAACGGTAACGGTACTTTTTAATTTTCTTCAATCGCTCATTCACAAATATATATTTCTCCACTTTTTAAACTGCCATACGTTATTTTTATTAGAGTAATTATTATGATGTTCGCGTATTATATTAATTATATTAATCTTTCTGCCGTTTAGTTTCGATTTTTCGGTTTTATTTTAAAAGTTTCTACAATTTTATATTTTAATATAATTCAACACATGTTTAATACAAAACACTTTTCAAAAAAATTCACGACCCAATGAAAATCTTTCGAAAGGCGTTCGCGTCGTTTTCAAAGAGATAAAATATTCAACGTGCACCCGTTGACCTTTGATCTGACATTTGAAGAACGATATCTATTTGCACTTCTGTTTGTACTAAATGCACACACGTGTATCAATCGCGTCGTTCAATTTCGTC